AAATCCGTCCCATAGGCGCCGCGGGAAAATGATGCCTCTGGGCTGCCGACCCTAGAGCATGCGCTCTCTGCCCAAGGATGCTTCGGCGATCCACTGTTCCGGGATTTCCACGCAGCCGAAGGGGCGCGTTGTAGACTTGGCTGCCAAGGGCGGGGCGGGCCAGCGAAGGTGTTGATTGGTCGGTCAAAAGCCTCGGCCCCCTTGGCGGCCTGTGGCGTGCAGGCTCTGATTCATTCATGGGTTTGACTCTGTTTACGGAGTATACACTGTCCGAGTGTGTGCTGGGGTTTTCAGATGAGTCAGACGCAGTTCTTGTCCCAGAGGAGCCCACGCTTCGGTGGACACTAGGTGTTCCCTCCATTCTTACTTTTCAGACTTCTCTCAAGTCTGATGTGATCTGGTTCTTGCTATAGAAGGTGACTCTCAGCCAATCTTATCCGGGACCCCTTCCACTGGTTCCACCACGTGAAGGCAGCTGCTGAGCACTGAAAGGCCAGGTGGAATCCTAGCCAGTGCTCACTCACTGAGCTCCTCCCACCTTACTTTCGCCTCTGAAAGAATAATGCAGACGTCCCCAGTCACTATCGTCATCTTCTGTGGTGGGTTTATTGGGAAGTAACGCGGGCATTAAGTTGAAAAGCATCTGTATCGTTATCTTGCAGAGGGGTTTAAAATGAGGTTTGGCATTCCGAGCTTCCTCCCTCATTTAGCTGTGTGATTTTGGGCTATTCAGGGGAGGCCCATGGTGGTTGTCCAGCGCTGGCTGAAATTTGAATCTGAATAATAAATTTTTTTAAGTTCTATTATTGTTTTTTGCAAACAGTTTCCCTGTGTCCTTCAGGCTAGTGCCGTGGTGTCAGGTTAGTTCACAGGAACCTCAAACTCCTGGGCTTAAGCAACCCTGCCTCAGTCTTCCCAGTCTGCAGGCACCTGCTGAAATGCCTGGCTAATTTTTTTTCTCTATTTTTAGTAGAGATGGAATCTCACTCTTGTTCAGGGTAGTTTTGAACTGGTAAGCTCACGCAATCCTCTCATCTTGATCTCCCAGAATGCTAGAATTACTTGCATGAACCACCACGCCCAGCCTGAATAATACCTTTCAAAAGATTTTAAATTTATTGCTGTTCTTTAAATTTGTTTTGTTTTAGAGGCAGGGTCTCTCTCTGTTGTGCAGTCTGAAGCACAGTAGCACGATCATAACTCACTGCAGCCTTGTACTCCTCAGCTATGTTGTCCTCAGTAGAGTGCTGTAGTGTCACAGCTCACAGTAACCTTCAACTCTAGGCCTTAAGTGATTTTCTTGCCTCAGCCTCCCATGTAGCTGGGACTACAGGTGCCCACCACAACGTCCAGCTATATTTTTGTTGCACTTGTTATCTGTTCTTTAGCTGGCTCGGGCCAGATTTGAACCCGTCACCCTCAGTGTATGTGGTTGATGCTGTAACCACTGTGCTGCGGGCACTGAGCCTGATTCCAGTGTCTTATTTCTTAATTTTTCCATACTCGGGAAGGGAAAAAATTGCTCCCTAAACTAGAAAGACCTAACTTAATGGCTCACAGTGAGGATTATACGAGATATTTATGCCAAGCACACTGTGCATTACTTTCCAGGTAGGAGTTCCATCAATTGTAGCTACCACAATTGTGTTACTGTGCAAAGGTCTAGCCAAGTGACTGGTTGTTGGTGGTGCTAAATAAATAGTTGAACAAATAAATGTCTTCCCTCCTTAGCCTGTGAACTTAGCCCAAGGTGAGACGTGGTACTGTAGACAAGTATCCTCTTGGACTTTATAGGAAAAGAGAGCTCTACAACATAAAAAGGAATAAGAAACTTGTTTTTTTTTTGAGACAGTCTCATTATGTCGCCTTTGGTAGACTGCCATGATATCACAGCTCACAGCAACATCAAAGTCTTGGGCTTAAGCAATTCTCTTGCCTCGACCTCCCGTGTAGCTGGGACTATAGGCACCTGCCACAACGCCTGGCTATTTTTGGATACAGTTGTCATTGTTTGGCAGGCCCTGGCTGGGCTAGAACTTGCCAGCCTTGGTGTATGTGGTGGGTGCCCTACTCACTGAGCTATGGGCACCGAACCAAAGAAACTGTTTATAGCAGTGGATAGGGATCAAAACCTCTGAGAGATGATGACTTGTTCAAGATGGGGTGATCATATCCCCCAAGTGGACACTTTTAGCTAGGACAACAATCACAAAGTGGGATTGTACCAGCCAAATAAAGATATATCGTCACCTTATCCCACACTGTACAAGTAGTATGTGACAGAATTTGTCCTATTCTGTTTCAAGTTGTTTTTTTATATTTTATTTGATCCTAGTAACAGTCCTATGATGTGATTATCCCCATTTAATGGATGAAGACATGTAGTTCTTTTATGTATTTATTTATTTTGAGACAGAGTTGGGTGGTGGTCGGTTGTAATTGTCATTGCTGTTTAGCAGGCCTAGCCCAGGCTCACAGCTGCCAGCTTCAGTGTATGTGGCTGGCGCCCTAGCCACTGAGCTACAGGCACTGAGCCAACATGTAGTTCATGATGGAGCAGGGCTCTGACCTGCAGTTTTAACTCCCTTGTGATAATTATAAACCCCACCACGCCCCTTTGGTATTGTGCTTATTCTTTGAGACTCTATTATGTTTTAGGGAGGGAAATTTTGGGTCAATTTACTGGAGAATTTTCCTTTTTTTTCCTGAGACAGTCTCATGCTGTTGCCATGGGTAGAATGCCATGACGTCATCATAGCTCACAGCAACCTCCAACTCTTGGGCTCAAGCAATCCTCTTACCTCAGTTTTTCTATTTTTAGTAGAGACAGGTCTCATTCTTGCTTAAGCTGGTCTCGAACTCCTGATCTCAAGTGATCCATTACCTCTGCCTCCCAGAGCGCTAAGATTAAAGGTGTGAACCACTGTACCCAGCCTGGAGAATTTTTCTAATAGAGCTTGCTATGAACTGAATGTGTTCTCCTAAAATTCGTATGTTGAAATATAACCCTCAGTGTGATAGTATTTGGTCACAAGGCTTTTGGGTGGTAATTAGGGTTTGAGCACAGAACCCTTAAGATGGGATTTAAGAGAGAGCGCTCTTCTGTGTACCATGTGGGGATACAAGGAGTTCTTTACCTAATAAATGCAATCAATGTAACCTAAGTCTTTGTATCCTCCATGAGTCCCAAACAATAATAATAATTAAAAAAAGAGTTTGCTATCCAGAAGGCAGCTCTTACCAAAACCTAACCATGTGGATACCCTGATCTCACACTTCTAGCCTCCAGAATTGTGAGAAATAAACATTTTTTGTTAAAGTCTACAGTGATTTTTATGGCAGCTCAAACTTACCAGGCAAAAGGCCACATCATCAAAGCCTGTTAGGAATTTCATAGAGGGGATCTGGTGTGGGCATCAGCTTGGATCTGATTATTTTAGAGGTTCCTTCCAAAGTTAGGTGTCTAGAAATTCCTGGAGGGCAGGCTTTGTATATTCCTAAATTATTATTGTTATTATTATTATTTGAGACAGAGTTTCACTTTGTTGCCCTTGGTACAGTGCTGTGTCATTATAGCTCACAACAACTTCAAACTCTTGGGCTCAAGCAATTCTCTTGCCTCAGCCTCCTAAGCAGCTGGGATTACAGGAGCTCCCCACAGTGCCTGGCTATTTTTAGAGCCTAGGTCTCACTCTGGCTCAGACTGGTCTTGAACTTGTTAGCTCAGGCAATCCAACTGCCTTGGTCTCCCAGAGTGCTAGGATTACAGGTGGCAGGTTCGAATCCAGCCCAGGCAGGCCAAACAACAATGACGGCTGCAACCAAAAAATAGTCGGGCGTTGTGGTGGGCGCCTGTGGTCCCAGCTACTTGGGAAGCTGAGGCAGGAGACTCGCTTGAGCCCTGGAGTTGGAGGTTGCTGTGAGCTGTGATGTTACAGCACTCTACCCAGCGGGACAGCTTGAGGCTTTGTCTCAAATAAATAAATAAATAAATACTTGCTGGCTTAAAGCAGAAGCACTGCCTCAGACCATTTTTCCGTTGCTGGTATATATGCTGACCACTCTAGTTCTTCGTTATTATTATTATTTTTTTAACCTTCCTTAATGGGAAAAGAAATACATGCATATGATAGGAAATTTAAGCTGAACACTAAAAATACTCAAGGGGAGAGTCTCCCTGTTCTCCCTCTTTCCCGCAGATGCCATTGTTAATTCCTTGTGCACTGTGCACCTTCTAACTCAAGTGTGTAAGTCTCCTCTCTCTCTCAGCTTTTTTAAAAGCCAGAGGGGTTTAGTCGCAAAATGACTGCCGGCCCCATTTATCAAGCGGGCTTCTTCGCCTTGGCGGTAACCGCAACTGTCCTACCCTCCCAGGCCTGTTCAAAGCCCTCTGTGTGGACTGACTGCTGGGCCCTTCAAAGGCAGAAGTGCCCTTTGACCCGCGAGGGTCTGAGACCAGGCTGAGCCTCGAGCACCTGCGGTCCGGCGGCGAGCACACCCGGGAGGTTCTCCGCGATAGCACACGCCTCAGCATGTCAACATGCAAAAGTGGGGACGCCAACGTAGCGCTTAATCCCCCGAGACGGCAGAGCTGGCTCTGCGTGGGGGTCGCAGTAGGACTTTGTGCCCAGCTGCGTAAAGGAAGCGAAATTTGAGCTGCGCGCCTGCGGGAACTGGTAAATGGCAAGGACGCAGGACAAGCCCTTTCTTCCTGGCACCCCACACCGCAACACAAGATTTGCCCTCCGCCTCGGCTCCACCCACTCCGCCTCGGCTCCACCCCTCCGCCTCGGCTCCACCCCTCCGCCTCGGCTCCTCCCCGTCCGGCTCCTCCCCCGCCCGGGCCCGCCTCCATCCTCGTCCCTCCTTCTTTTCCTCTCTCTTCCTCCCCCTCTCCCTCCGCCTCCTTTCAGTCGCTTACTTCCATCGCGTCTCTCTCAAAACCCGGCGCGGATCGCGGGCCCGGGACTGGACCCCGCGCAGGCGCAGGAGCGGCGCCGGCTCGCTTGCCAATCGGAAGCGCCAGCCCTGAGCCAGGGAAGCGGCTGCAGAGGTTGCTCTGTCCCGCTGCCCGCCAGGCGGTTGGCTCCTGCTCCGGGCCCGGGCCACCGGCTGTGTAAGTGGTACGTGGGGGGCTCCCGGTGACGGAGCCCGGGCCGGCTGAGGGGAGGGCCGTCTGTGTCCCCGGCGTGCGAGTCGGCGTGTTCCCGCTGAGGGGCTCGACCCAGCCCACCTGTTCCGGGCCCAGTCAGCCCACACCTGTCCGGGTCCAGCTGTCCAGCCTGGGGTTCAGCTTACACCTGCTTGAGGCCCGGCTACCCCAGCCTGCCGCCCTTCTTACACCTGTCCGGGGGCCGTGTCCACACTCGCTGAATAACCCGGTCTACACCTGTTCCAGACCCGGCCCACACCTGCCATCTCTTGGGCCCCAGCCTTTGCTCTCCTCAGCACGCGCGGCTGTCATCCTCTTCCCCTCCCCGGCTCACGGGGCTCCCTCCGCTCTCGGCGAGCGCCTGCAGGGCGACCCCCGCCCGCCTCAGCCCCGGGCCTGGCTGCGCCCCCTGGACGGGGGCTGGTCCCCCGGCCGCCTTCCCTGCCTAGCGATCCCGAGGCAACCCTTCCCTCCCTGTTTCCCGCTGTATCTCTTCGGGGTAAAAGTGCCTGGAATCCAGCTGGGCGGATTATAAACAACACTGCATCCTAGTGTTATAAACAACACTGCATCCTAGTGAAGGCTTAAGGAATGTGGCAACAGGGTGCTGGCTTTGAGTTTTCTTCGCTGTCAGTTCTGCTACCACCCCCAGTTTACTTCCCCACATAAATGACTTTTCATTAAGCTGCCTGGTGGTAGGCTGTGGTGTTTGTTGTCCTCACATGTCTTTATAAAGAGAGCGACTAAAATGCTGAAAGCAGGGTTCCGTTCAGCAGAAGAGATGCCTGTGACACCCCCTTTCCGGTTTAAATGAGTGACTCTCAAGGTATTTCCAGACCAGTTTTATTTTTTAACGTGAAACAATAGCATGATGTTGGAGACTCAGGAATATTGCAGTCCTCAAGATCTCTGGACAAGGTTTTGTTGTGTCTTGTTTTGTATATTTGTTTTTTTAAAATTGTGTGGAAGACTAGGAGCATAACGAGAAAAATAACTATCAAAAAACTTTTTTTTTCTTCTCGGAGACAGAGTTTCACTTTATCACCGTGGCAGCGTCACAGCTCACAGCCACCTCCAGCTCCTGGGCTTAGGCGATTCTCCTGCCTCAGCCTCCGGAGTCGCTCGCACTACAGGCGCCTGCCACATCGCCCAGTTATTTTTTTGTTGCGGTTTGGCCGGGGCGGGGTTTGAACCCGCCACCTCTCGGTATCTGGGGCCGGCGCCCCAAGAAACATTTTTTAAAGTAACAGCTGTATTGAGACATTGTTTACCTACCATAAAGTTCATTTGTTTAAAGCAGTAGTTCTCAACCTTCCTAATGCCGCTACCCTTTAATACAGTTCCTCATATTGTGGTGACCCCCCAACCATAAAATTATTTTCGTTGCGACTTCATGACTGTAATTTTGCTACTGTTATGAATCGTAATGTAAATATCTGATATGCAGGATGTATTTAGGTGACCCCTGTGAAAGGGTTGTTGACCCCCAAAGGGGCCACGACCCACAGGTTGAGAACTGCTGGTTTAAAGTATGCAATTGAATGATGTTTTTAGTATGTCCACTTTTGTGCAACCATTACCATTCCAGAACATTTTCATCACCCCAGAAAGAAACTCCATACTTATTAGCAGTCAGTCCTGGTTCCCTCCTCCTACAGCCCCTGACAGCACTAATTTATTTTCCGTGTGTATGGATTTGCATATTTGGGACATTTCATATTAATGGAATTATACAGCATGTGGCATTTTGTATCTGGCTTTTTTTACTCAGCAATATTTTCAAGATTCATTCATTTTGTAGCATACACCAGCACTGTGTTCCTTTTTATGGCTGAATAATATTCCATTGTTTGGATATACCACATTTTGTGTATCTGTTTGGCAGTTAATGGATATTTGTGTTGTTTTAAATTTTTAGCTGTTATGAATAAGGCTGCTGTGAGCATTACTGTACAATTTTTTGGCATGCCTTGTGTTTTCAGATCTCTTGGCTGTATACCTAGGAAAAGCATTGCTGGTTTTAACTCTTAACTTTTTGAGAAACTACCGTGTTGGAGAACGGTATCTTTGATTTTTTTTTTTTTTTTTGAGAGGTCTCAAAACTCTATTCTGGGTGACGCCTGTGGCTCAGTGGGTAGGGCACCGGCCCCATATAGTGAGGGTGGTGGGTTCAAACCCAGCCCTGGCCAAACTGCAACAAAAAAATAGCTAGGTGTTGTGGCTGGCGCCTGTAGTCCCAGCTATTTGGGAGGCTGAGGCAAGAGAATTGCCTAAGCCCACGAGTTTGAGGTTGTTGTGAGCTGTGATGCCACGGTCTTCTACCAAGGGCGATAAAGTGAGCCTCTGTCTCTACAAAAATAAATAAAGAAACAACTCATGTTCTAGGGCCTTAAATATCACTCTGTTCATTTGGCAACGCCCAGGGCTTGCTTGCTGTTATGATGAGAGAATACTATTTTTTTCTTTTTAATTTTAAAAAATTGTGATAAAATATACATAACGTAAAATTTGCCTTCTTAAACATTTTACATATACAGATCAGTGATAATTAAGTACATGCATATTGTTATGCATTGATTACCACTATCTACCCAGAACATTTTATCTTTCCAAACTAAAACCCTATACCTATGAACATTAATTCTCCATTTCTTCTCTCTTCAGTCCCTGGAAACCTCCATTCTACTTTCTGGATAAGACAATATGTACTTTTTTTTTAGACAGAGTCTCACTATGTTACCCTCAGTAGAGTGCTATGGCATCACAGCTCACAGCAACCTCAAACACTTGGGCTTAAGAGAGCCTCCCAAGCAGCTGGGACTACAGGTGCCCACCACAACGACTGGCTATGTTGTTTGTTGTTGTTACAGTTGTCATTGTTGTTTAGCTGGCCTGGGCTGGGTTTGAACCTGCCAGCCTGGGTGTATGTGGCCGGTGCCTTATCCACTGAGGTATGGGCAGTGCCAGACAATCCATATTTTTAAAATAAGGCCCTTTCCTCATCTGATCTGGGCCTTAGTTTCCTTCTCTATACATTGTATAACCTTAGACTATATCTATGTTTTATAACTTCTTTTAAAACAATGCCTATCCCAGCACTCTGGGAAGCTGAGGGGGGTGTATTGCTTGAGCTCAAGAGTTCAAGAACAGCCTGAGCAAGAGTGAGACCCCAACTCTAAAAGAAAAAAAGCCAGGTGTTATGGCAGGCACCTGTAGTTGCAACTACTTGGGAGGCTGAGGCAAGTGAATCACTTGAGCCCAAGAGTTTGAGGTTGCTGTGAGCTATGATGCCACGGCACTCAACCCGAGGGTGACTGAGTGAGACTCTGTCTCAAAAACAAACAAAAAATTAACGAATGCCTCCTTTTGAGAAATATGAGCTCCCAAATCTCCTGTCTTCAAGATTTTGATATGTCCCGTGAGCGGTGCCATACGTTTTTTGTTGAAAGTTTATGTGATTTTTTGGTTCTTTCCAAGGTGATTTTTCTGTGAGGAAAAGTCTCTTCAGAGGACCTCTGCAGTGAAAGGGGTGATACTGCCTTGAGAGTGAACATGGTGATATAGGTGTGACCCATTTAGGACCTGGGTAGAAATAAGATATGTTAGGAGGGTGGCACATGTGGCTCAGTGAGTAGGGCGCCAGCCGCATATACTCACTGTGGCGAGTATATGGGTGGCGAGTTCGAACCCGGTCCTGGCCAAACTGCAACAAAAAAATAGCTGGGTGTTGTGGCAGGTGCCTGTAGTTCCAGCTACTCAGAAGGCTAAGGCAAGAGAATTGCCTAAGCCCAAGAGGTGGAGGTTGCTATGAGCTGTGATGCCATAGCACCCTATTGTAGGGCAACAAAGTGAGACTCTGTCTCTAAAAATATATGTGTGTGTGTTAGGCTAGGGATTCCTTTATTTTTTAATTTAATTTTGTTCATACCCCTCTATTTATGCGTGTTCTTGAAGTTTGTAGAGGATGAGTGTTAAGATCTAAAGTCCACCATGGGATAGATGGCCCAGGATCTGCACATCCTGAATTAAAATAGAGCCTAACTTCCACTAGCTTCATGGTAAAGCTGCTTCTGCCATGGGTATACTTATAAGGATAAGCATACTTATAGGGACAGCAGATTGATTTCTTTGTTTAAGATGGGGTCTTGCTCTGTTGTTGCCCAGACTGGAATGCAGTGGCACACTCATAGTGTTCTTAACCTTGAACTCTTGGGCTCAAGTGATCTTTCTGGTTTCATCTTCTAAGTAGCTGGGACTATAGATACTCACCACCATGCCAAGTTAATTAAAAAAATTGTTTTTGCTGGAGACAGGGTCTTGCTATGTTGTCCAGGGTGGTACTGAACTCCTGGCCTCAAGAGATCCTCTGCCTTGGCTTCCCAAAGTGCTGGGATTATAGATGTAAGCCACCATGCCTACCAAACAACAGAAATATTTATTGAGTACATCTTGCAGAGAACATGTTTTCACACTCCTTGCACGATATAGGGAGCTCATTTAATCTCAGTAAACTTTCATAAAATTAGACTTTTTATTTTGAGATATAATTACAGATTCGTATTAGTTGTAAGAAATAACACAGAAAAAGCCTGTGTACCCTTTGCCCAGTTTCCCCAGTGGTACCATCTAATAAAATGATGGTACATTATCAAAAGCAAAATATTGGCTCACTAACCCTTTAAGGTATATGTTGTTATTCTCTTTTTCTTTTGCAGTTTTTGGCCAGGACCAGGTTTGAACCCACCACCTCCAGTATATGGGGCTGGCGCCCTATCCTTTGAGCCACAGGCACTGCCTGTTATTCCCATTTTTATTCATGATTAAACTAAGGTGACTCGATTTAACACTGGTAAAGTGGGACACCATTGACGGTGGGGGGCAGGCTTTGGTGTGTTCCTAATTAAAAATTTGGTCTATATGGAGCAACAAAAATTTTCATAGAATGCAAAAATAGTATTGTAATATATATTTTTCAATTTCAAAGTAGTACAATTTACAAATATACTACATTAAAAATTATGTATAGTATTATCCTTTGGCATATTTCTCATTTGAGTGAATTTTTTTTAGTAGATTGCTGCTGTTGTTTAAAAGGTCATGAAATTTTTCACAAGAATTTGTTAAATTATATTTCACACATAAAATGGCTTTCAAAGTCTCAACACTTAATTGTTATTTTTCTGATGTCCACACTATTTACCGTAGAAAAAACGCATTTAGTCACAACATTAGTTCCTGGTAAGGACAGGGCGTATCCCACAGTTTTTAGTGCATTATTGTATGGAACATGTTTGGTTTCAAAATGATGAAATATTTCTAACCATTTGTTCTCTATTGTGATTTTTTGCTGATGCCCAAGTTTTAACCTTTTCCTTATCAATATATTTTTTAAATAATGATACCTCGTAAGTCATAAGTGTCACTTTCAAGGCCAGCGCTAGGCTTTTTGCCGCCACTATAAAATATAAATAATATGAGTACTGTCTGTTAAATTCATGAAATAAATAAATAAATGACTTACCTAAATTATTTGAATAGCTGATTTGTTGACAGTTACAAAATGTTTTCATCGTTGCCAATGCCAAAAAATGCCGTTGTTCATTAAGTCCAAACAATGGTGGTCGAATTCTAACAACTGATCAACAATGCGAACTTTGATAAGCAGTTCTCGATAATCAGTTCTCAACAATTATTTGTTATTATTAAAGTTTAACTTTGTAAAATTAACAAAAATAATATAAAACTCCTATCCTGGCGAAATAGCCACATGGCAGCTAAAAACCGTATGTATATTCCCTTCCTGTTCTCCCACCATTCCCTAGCTTGTCATGCATTCTTTCCAAAAATCGGGACTTTTTAAAAATGCCGCAGGATAAGGGACAAATTGTTAAAAATTGGGACTGTCCTGCCAAAAGCGGGACGTCTGGTCACCTTAGACTAAACTGGGGGTCAGGAGAGTGTACAGACTTGTCCCAGTTCACCTAGGAGTTGAATATCATCTCTGACTACCAGGGTGTGAAATTTCCTTCTAACTGTCTAGGGCTGGGGCAGCCTTCGTTTGATTGGTTATTTGTTCATTCATTCATTCATTCCTTCAACAAACATCTATTGAGTAGCCAGATTCTTTCAGATAGTTATCTAATTTGATTCTTCAGCAGCACTGAAAGTCAGCACTTTATTTTTATATCTGGAAAAACTAGCTCGGAGTGATTATAAAACTCATTTATAAAGGAGGGTCAGTATATTTATTTGTATAATCCCTCCTTTTATGCCAGGTACTGTGCTACGTACTTTACATCTGCAGCCTCCTTTAATCTGGATGCAGTTTCAGAAGGCAACTGTGTTTTTTTTTTTTGTTGTTGTTGTTAAGACAGAGTCCCACCCTGTGCCCTGAACAGAGTACAGTGGCATCATAGCTCACTGCAACCTCAGACTCAGGCTGTGGGCATCCTGCTGCTTCAGCCTCTGGAAGCCGCTGGGAGGGATTACAGGTGCTTGCTGTGGTGCCTGGCTAGGTTTTTCCGTTTTTTTGGAGTCAGGGCCTCACTCTTGCTCAGGCAAGTCTCGAACTCCTGAGCTCAAGCAATTCTTCCTCTTAGGCCTCCCACAGTGCTGGGATTATAGGTGTGAACCACCATGTGTGGCTGTTTTTTTTTTTTTTTTTTTTTTTTTTAGTGCTGTGGCATCATTCACAGCAACCTCAAACTCCTGGGCTCAAGCTATCGTCTTGCCTCAGCCTCCCCAGTAGCTAGGACTGGGCACCTGCCACTGGCCCAGGTAATTTTTTATATATTTTTTAGAGACGGGGCCTCCCTCTTGCTTAGGCTGGTCTAGAACTAAGCTCAAACAATCCACCTGCCTCAGCCTTCCAGAGTGCTAGGATTACAGGTGTGAGCCTCCGTACACAGCAGGAAGCAAATTTTATCATCTCCCTTATTTTGTAGCAGAAGAGCTCAGGGAGACTGGAATTCAATGTAGATCTGATTGACTGTGGGTTTTTTCATCATATCCTGGTGAAGGGGTGGGGGCAATTATTCATATGTTCTTTCATTCATCCAAGAACCATTTTTGAGCATTGCCTCTATACGACTATCTAGTTAGGTGGTGGGAATAGAAAGGTAAGAAGCAGCTCCATTTCTGCAGAAATTCAAAACTGAGTCCGGGAGACCCAAAACCTGCAGTTAATAGGACTGTGGTGAGAGCTATGAGAGCAAAGGGAGCACAGCCTAAGGAATTAGTTTCACAGCCTGCGGGGGGCTTACCTTGCCTTCCAGGGAGGAGCTTCGGGATTACCGTATCCAAAGGATGCCAGCAGCATCCAAAACCGTGCGTCTGAAAGCCTCGTTTTCCTCTTTGGACAGGAACTTCGAAATGAGCGTCCCCGACTACATGCAGTGTGCAGAGGACCACCAGACTCTGCTCGTGGTGGTCCAGCCGGTCGGCATCGTCTCTGAAGAGAACTTCTTCCGGATCTACAAGAGGATCTGCTCCGTGAGCCAGATCAGCGTGCGAGACTCCCAGCGAGTGCTCTACATCCGCTACAGGCACCACTACCCGCCCGAGAACAACGAGTGGGGTGACTTCCAGACGCACCGTAAGGTCGTGGGCCTCATCACCATCACAGACTGCTTCTCGGCCAAGGACTGGCCGCAGACATTTGAGAAGTTCCACGTGCAGAAGGAGATCTACGGCTCCACGCTGTACGACTCCCGGCTCTTCGTCTTTGGGCTTCAGGGGGACATTGCGGAGCAGCCCCGCACTGACGTGGCCTTCTACCCCAGCTACGAGGACTGCGAGACGGTGGAGAAGAGAATTGAGGACTTCATTGAATCGCTCTTCATTGTGCTTGAGTCCAAGCGTCTGGACAGAGCCACCGACAAGTCTGGGGACAAGATCCCCCTTCTCTGTGTCCCGTTTGAGAAAAAGGACTTTGTAGGACTGGACACAGACAGCAGGTAAGTTTACCTAGAGACTCGGGTTCCTTGGCTTCCTGGCTTACATGAGAAGGGAGAAGGTACTGCAGTGAGGAGAAGAAAGGTGTTGCCCCTTGGCTTCTAAAACCTGGTTAGCCCGAGTCTTTCAGGGTTAGCGGTACACTCAGTCCCCTCTCCCAGGGGTATCCCCAGTGGGGCTCCAGGGAGCTGCGCCCAGTGCAGGAGCTGCAGCCACTTGCTGTCAAGCACCGGAAATGAGGTTGGTTGGGATGTTCTGCGAGTGAAATGCATACCCGATTTTTTTTTTTTTTTTTGAGACGGAGCCTCAAGCTGTCCCCCTGGGTAGAGTGCCATGGCATCATGCTCACAGCAACCTCCAACTCCTGGGCTCAAGCGAGTCTCCTGCCTCAGCCTCCCAAGTAGCTGGGACCACAGGCGCCCGCCACAACGCCCGGCCATTTTTTGGTTGCAGCCGTCATTGTTGTTTGGCAGGCCCGGGCTGGGGATTCGAACCTGCCACTTTAGGTGTATGTATGTGGCTGGCGCCTTAGCCGCTTGAGCCACAGGCGCCGAGCCTGCATACCCGATTTTGAGACTTACTATTGAAAAAAGAATATTAAATATCTTTCTAGTATTTTTTATATAAATGTGTCAAAATGTCTGGGGTGGTGGCTCACACCTATAATCCTAGCACTGTGGGAGGCTAAGGCAGGTGAATTGCTTGAGCTCAGGAGTTGGAGACTTGTTTGAGTGAGAGTGAGATTCTAATTGTGTGTGGGGAGAGCCTGTAATCCCAGCAGCTTCTAGAGGCTGAGGCAGCAGGATGTCCATACCCTGAGTCTGGGGTTGCAGTGAGCTATGACACCATTACACTTTGCTCAGGGCATAGGTTTGGACTCTGTCTCAACAACAACAAAACAACAAGGAAATAAAAAGAAAATAATAAAAAAAGAAAATGATAAAAGTGTCAAAATGATAGTATCTTAAATATACTAGATTAAATCAAATATTTTATTAAAATCAATTTAACTGTTCTTTACTTTTTATTTATTTATTTTTTGAGACAGTCTCATTAGGTCACCCTCGGTAGAGTACTGTGGTATCACAGCTCACAGCAACCTCAAACTCTTGGGCTTAAGTGATGCTCTTGCCTCAGACTCCCAAGTGGCTAGGACTATAGACACCTGCCACAACGCCTGGCTACTTTTTATTGTTGTTGTTCTTGTAGTTGTCATTGTTGTTTGGCAGGCCTGGCCAGGTTTGAACCTGCCAGCCCTGGTGTATGTGGCTGGCACTCTAGCCACTGAGCTATAGGTGCCGAGACTGTTTTTCACTTCTTAAAATGTGGCAACTAGAAACTTAATTTAGTTATGTGGTTTGCATTTTGTTTTATTTATTTTTTGAGACAGAGTCTCACTCAAACTCCCTGGGGTTCAGTGCTATAGTGTCATAGCTCACAGCAACCTCAAACGCTTGGGTTCAAAGTAGCTGGGACTACATGCACCAGACACAACGTCTGGCTATTTGATTTTAGAGACGGGATCTGTCTCTTGCTCAGGCTGGTCTTAAACCAGTGAGCTCACGCAATCCGCCTGCCTCAGCCTCCCAGAGTGCTAGGATTACAGGCGTGAGCCACCATGCCTGGCCTACCCTTTTTTTCCAGTCTCATACCTTTGATTCCTAGAGGAAGCGCTGAATCTGCAGAGGTAGGAACCAGGTCTGGGTTGGACTAGAGGTAGGTAGAGCCTGCATCTCCTGGCTCCCAGACTAGGTATAGTGAATGTCTTAAGCTGCCTTCTCCTGGTGGCTGCCATATCAGATTCCTCACTACGGAGCAGCCAAGGTGAATATCAGGATGGCAGAAAGAGCCTCAGGGGGTCCCTCAAGAGCTGCCTTACACCAATGGAAAGTATGCCTGTATTCTCTGTATACCAAGGACTGTTGAGTAGGGCAGGAAAAGGTCAGTCTGCACTTCTTGCCTGCTATTAATTCAGAAACTTTACTGAGAACCAGAATTACAGATTTGTTCTTCGTTGAGATTTCTTCCACTCCTCTGTTTCACCATGCTGGCATGGTGGCTGTCTGGCAGAGGGGGATGAAATGCAAGCTTGGCAGCAACCGTGTGCCAAGAGGGGGCCCTTTTGCCAGGGAGAGTGCGGTGTAGCTGTGTCACTCACTGACCACGTGGACGTGGACGTGGGCAGGGTGAATCTGTCCTCTCCTGTAGGAATCAGCTGTGATCCACAGGTGAGGGTTAAAGGGCACAGTGTGCATGCTGGCGTTGTGCCTGCTGCAAAGTAGGTGCTCAGTGTGTTTCTTGAATTTATCTAAGATTTATCTAAGTCAGACAGTGACTTTCTGGTTGTTGGTACATCTGGGGAGAAAATATAGAATTAAGAAAACAAAATCCGAGTCCAGCCCTAGGAGTTGGAAGCACAGAGTTGCCCTCACACCTGTTTGTAGCACTTCACAGGGTTTGGAAGGAATTTTTTCTTTCTCACCCAAATGTGTATTTGGTTTAAGAAAAGGGAATGTAGAGGTGGCGCCTGTGACTCAAAAGGGTAAGGCGCCGGTCCCATATGCCAGAGGTGGCGGGTTCAAACCCAGCCCTGGCCAAAAATGCCAGAAAAGGGAATGTGACTTATCATAAACCAGATCTGTGCTTAATTCTCACGGCAGCCATCTGATTTACTGTGAGTGCTCAGCCTGGCTGCTGTGGGGCTAAGGCAGCAAGATTTAGAAACCTGGGCAGGCACCGAGCAACAGAGCTGATGTGCTCACTGGGTCTGACTCCAAAGTCTAGGGCCTTCCCACCTTACCTTGCTGCACACTGGTATGCCTGCTATGCCTCTTAAAGAACCCACACTGCCGTAAGGGTGGGCAGGCACCTTCATTTTTATAAAGTGGTACTGCATAGCGTATACAGTATGTGTATTCCTTTGACTGGTACCTTCTTCTTTTGCCAACATGGGACACCAGTGATGTTTTTCATTCACCAACTTCTTGGTTGTGAGGTTGCAGATTCACTAATGAATACCAGCTCTTTTGTCCCCCGCCTTTTTTTTTTTTTTAAGAGACAGAGTGTTAACTCTATTGCTCAGGCTGGAATGTGCAGTGGTATGATCATGGCTTCCTGTAACCTTGAACTCCTGGGCTCAAGGGACCTCCCATCTTATCTTTTTTATTTTTGTTGTTGTTGTTCTTTTTGGCTGTGGCTGGGTTTGAACCCACCACCTCTGGCATATGGGGCTGGCGCCCTATTCCTTTGAGCCACAGGTGCTGCCCATCCACCTTATCTTCTTAAGTACCTGGGACTATGGGAGTATAGTACCAGGCCCAGCTATTTTTTAATTTTTTTGTAGATACGGGAGGGATCTTACTATGTTGCCCAGGCTAGTCTTGAACTCCTGGCCTCAAGTGATCCTCCCACCTTGGCCTCCAAAAGTGCTGGGATTACAGGCATGAACCACTGTGCCTTTCAAAATCTATGCTCACAATTGAGCAGGAATAAAGAAAGTGTATTGGGATGTGGTGCCTCACACATAGTGGGTAATAACTGACTAGAGTTTACTGAGAGCCTTCATGTGCCAGACACAGCCCTAGGCACTGAAAAATACAGCAACAGTAAAACTGCCCTCAGGGCTGCTCTTTCTACTCTAGGGGTCAGTCATCGTTTGGGCTTCAATGAGGTAATGACTCAAGTGACCTCAAATTAAATATATTCTCCTTTGATAGCTGCTAATTGGTTAGGGTTTCACTGCTCCGTAATTCTCTAATTTGTAAGTGGAGATTTGGTGCAGGAACAGAGGCTTGCTCTCACCTACAGTTCTTGGTAGGAGTGAGGAAAGTGTCTAGCCTGAGATGAGATTCTATTTTGTAGCTCAATAGGAAATTTCTAGATGTGCGTCCAGGTTTGATTTGACACACTGGCCACACTGATAGAGTCTATGACAGATAATTATAACTTTAGGTTCTAGACTTCCCAGTAACACTAGGTGCAGATGTGCTTTACCTAGACCTTCACATGTTCCCCTACTCATTAAATCCCATGGTCAGTTCTTGTAATGTGGTGTTGTAGCTATCAAAGTTATTTTTGTTCTTATGTGTTTCTAATTTTTGCTTGTTCCTCTTTCTTTTCTTTTTCTTTTTCTTTTTTTCCATCATACTGCCCTGTGAGTGTGTTGTTGGGTCTGAAAAGGTAGGCTGTGAACACATTGCATTACAAACAGCTAGATTTCCCCATGTGCTGCCCTCTGATAGCCTTCATCGCTTTAAACAAAAACTTACTGCTGCTTATATCCATATGTTAACTGAGTAATTTTTTAATTTTTTACATGTTTTTAATTTTAGCTTCTTTAGCACACAGCCTAATGGGGTCGGATATTTGTTAAAATATTTGCTCTGGGACAACTTGTTTGGTCTTTAGTGTTTGGTAACAAATAAGCCTTTATTAATTAATTTTTTTTTGAGGAAGTGAAATGCTAATTGATTTAGTTGGCTGCAGAAGGATTTTTATGGCATATTTTAACTGGGAAGGTCTCAGAGTGCCATGCCTTGCCTGGCCCTGGGCTTCTAACGAGCACATCTGGCACGTGATTCCCGGCTGCGGCTGCGCTGTGCATGGGGTGAGGGAGCAGCTGGCACGGGAGTGTGCTGGCGGCAAAGGGAGCTGTGGGAGGGAGCGTCTGCCCGCTGTTCTTTTGCTTTTGCCTTGAGCATGCTATTTCCCCTTTGCCTTCACCTCAGCAACTCTCCCCTACACGGGGGCAGAGGCCATTCTAAAATTGACACTAGTCTTTTGCCCTCCCTTTATAAGGGCTGAAGTATTTTTCTAAGTATCATGAACACAGCCTTCTCCTAAATAGGCGGTTCATTTAGATCGTAGGGACACGAGGACCTCTGTAATTGACCACTGGTTTCTCTCTGCTCCTGCCCTGAGAATTCAGAGCCAGACTCGCTGCTGTTCACCTGTGGCCATCCTACAGGCCTTTACTTGTATCAGACTTATCTTCTCTTTAACC